GCTCCATGGGTCATTTCATGAGCATAGTTGTATAATCCAATGATTGCCTTCCTTTCTTCAATTCGAGACAGCAGTATCATTAGTGTTGTATAGGTTATGATCAAATCTAAGTAGTTCTTTGTTAAATCAAAGTTTACAGTAATATCGAAGAAGACTTGGCAAACATCAATAGTATTCAGCAATTCACAAACATGGTCCTTAAATTCCATAACATCTACAAATGTGAAGTAGTATAATGCCAGATTTTTCAGAATCTCTGATTTTTCTTTCTGTAGCTGTGCAAGCTGTTGATTGTTGTTGCGAGTTTCTACAGCAGGGAACTTTCTGACTATGAATTTCACAGCAGATTGCAGGTTTTTGTCAATAAGGTAGGATGGTTTTGCCTTGGGATCTCCACATGCCCGTTTGATGTTGTAGAGGCGAGTCAGCATGCCGACGCCCCGGTCGTTGAGGATGGTGAGCTTCTCCGCCAGCTTCTGCTGACTGGGCTGCAGCACGGAGCGCGACATGGTGGTGTCTGTGGTGGTGCCGCCGCCGCCGGCCGCCTCGCGCCCAGTCACCGGCCCGCGGCCTCCGCGTCAACCTCTCCCGGGCCTCCTCCCCCCGCCCCCAGCCCGCGACCTCCGTCTCAGGGGAGAACGTCCATGACCCTTGCGCCCCAATCCCGCGCGGCTGACAGAGCGAACCGCGGCAGACGCCTCAGGGTCCCTTCCCCCGCAGCAGCCCGCGCCCCGGCAGCCTCCTGCCTTCCGCCCGCCGCCCTTCCGTCCGGTGCATTTTTTATTTTGATAGATACGACCAAATCCCCTCCAGGAGACCATTTCTTTTTTTTTTTTTTTAAAGATTTTATTTATTTATTTGAGCGAGAGAATGAGATAGAGAGCATGAGAGGGGGGAGGGTCAGAGAGAGAGGCAGACTCCCCGCCGAGCGGGGAGCCCGATGCGGGACTCGATCCTGGGACTCCAGGATCATGACCTGAGCCGAAGGCAGTCGCCCAACCAACTGAGCCACCCAGGCGCTCCAGGAGACCATTTCTTAGCCATCTGTCTCCCACTTACTTAGCACAATACCTGACACTTTGTAGGTATCAAATAAATGTTTGCTCAGTGGACAAAATGCATGAGCTGGCCCAGCAAATGCAAAGCATTTTGAGATACTCACATGCAAAACAAAACACAAAAACAAGAACAAAAAAGCCCCACCACCACCAAAAAAAAAAAAAAAAACCACGACAGTGACTGACTAGATTAGAATATTTTAGGACCACAGTGTGTACAGAGTTCTTGCTAAAGCACTGGCCACAGTGACAAACACTAATAAGTAATTTTATGCAGAATGTTGTGTCCAAAGTGATTATAAAATAGCTTACAAAATTATCTATCAAAAGGCTATGCACTCAATTTTTTAAAAATACACTAATAACTCCCACGTTTTATAACCCCCACGCCTACTAGTGAGAAATTTCCAGAACTCTTATGGTCTGACATTTAATCAAACACCTGCAAGATTACTTGCATCAGAATCACCTGGAGTGCTTATTAAAATGCAGACCCCACTCCAGAGCTTCGGAATCATAATTTCCGGGGATTAGGGCCGGGGAATCTGCATTTTATGCAGGCGGTGCTTCTAAGGCGCTCAAAAGCGTGGGAGCTAGAACATTAACAGGCTTTAATAGGATGAGTCTCTTAATTAGATGAGCACTTTAAACGAGCTCTTCGGCTGTCGAGTACAGAATCAACTGGAAGTGGGCAAAGATATCTAAAATAGTTAACGGAGGGCGCCTGGGTGGTTCAGTTGGTTACGCGACTGCCTTCGGCTCAGGTCATGATCCTGGAGTCCCGGGATCGAGTCCCGCATCGGGCTCCCTGCTC